CTGCGGTGGGGACAGAACCCGCTACCCTGGCTGAGACGATGCCCCAGCCAGCCGCACGCCCTTCAGACGTCCGTTAGAGGCAGAACACACAGCACCCCCTCCTGCCACCCGCAATCCATCCACACCAATTACAAGCAATTTCCTGTCCTGGGTGGGGTGAGGAGGAGTGAGCGAGAGAGGGAGGAAAAGCAGTTGTCAGCCAAATCAGAACACAACATGGGTTCTGTTTACAAATTGCCAGTTGTTTGGCTTCGCCATGGTAACATAGTGCTGACGCTGGCTGATGGATATTTCAAAGTAAGCACTGAGAGAGGGGGTCGTCGGGACAGTCGCGTCCTTCTGAAGGCCTGCAGGGCGTGTGAACCTATTCAGCCAGGCAGAGATGTTAATTCATGCATAATGTAACAACGTTCCCACAAACACACGTCTGTTTCCCTCCTGCCTTCATCTTCTCCCCCCTTCCTGCCACATCAGTTCCCCTCGAGACCTCGGGCTTCTGTTTGGCTTCCCGTAAATCCGCCTTTCCGCATAACTGGAGACCACACAAAGCGAGGAGGTGGCTGATTCACCAGAAACTGGAAATGTCGGCCAATTCCACCAAGGAAAGCCTGGAGCGTGCTCAAGCCAGGGCTGCCCAGGACAGGCGGGTGCACAACCATCACACACACACCACACACACACAAATCCAGCAAACAAGGGTTGCACCGTACAAACACATAATACACAACTGGTCAGTCAGACTAACATAAACAGGAATGAGAAACCTGCTGAGTGTGTACCCAACAACCGGAGTTTCTACTTGTACATAGGGATGAGACAGGTCTTGTTTCACATAAGTTGCTAAGTGGGCAGACAGCCACCCAGGTTCCTGGAAGTTGTTTTTCCTTCACGTGAAAATCTACATTTTTAAAATTTTTGTTTTTAAAATGACACCTCATGACTTGCTATAAGAGCAGTTAAGTCACCGAAATAATAAAGGTTATGGCCTTCTGGGTAATAAATATTTGATAAATAAGTTACTATGAATGCTATCAGTTCCCATGAGCCCATGAATGTCTGTTGTGATGAAGAAGACAACAGGCAGGTCCGAAATCAAAGCTACAGCAAAAAGGAAAAAGACTGATACTAATGGTTAAATGGTTCGTTGTCAGTATCAGCCAAGCACCTAAATATAAGTACTTCTACTTCTATTTTGGGTCTGAAAAAAGTGTGTATCAAGTGCCATCCTATTTTTATCTATGCATTTTGTTCTACACAGTTCCTAATCTTTACAGTTTTATAATACATTTTGAACCCTCCATAAATGATCAAAAGGAAGTTTCCTGCCAAACAAACAAAAGATGTTTGCTCCCTTTTATTCACACCAAAGTGGTTGCTGGACTGGTTGTCCTTTACAGCCAAACACTGAACTGGTTACACGACCATTAGCTGCTAGCTAACTAGCACACACTGACCTGTGTGGTCTCTTTGTGGACAGCTCAGACAATAGACTGATCTCTCAACTTAAAACTTTAGTTCCCTTTTTATCTACCTCGAGTTTTTTTCACCTTTATCCTCTTATTTCTGTAACGTTCATGAGTACAGTTTATACGCCACAGGATAAGCTTAATCTGTTCAGCTCAAAGTTTGTGCAACTTTGCTGGCCTCTAATTCGCTTTGCCTTTAGTCCACTCCACCGTGTAGAAGGATGTGCAT